TGCATATGATTTCCTTAATTACCTGCTCCATTATCTTCCCTGGGACAGACGTTAAACTGACCGGTCTATAATTTCCTGGGTTGTTCTTATTCCCCTTTTTATAGATGGGCACAATATTTGCCCTTTTCCAGTCTTCTGGAATCTCCCCTGTCTGCCATGATTTTTCAAAGATCATAGCTAAAGGCTCAGATACCTCCTCTATCAGCTCCTTGAGTATCCTGGGATGCATTTCATCAGGACCTGGTGACTTGCTGACATCTAACTTTCCTAAGTGATTTTTAACTTGTTCTTTGTGTATCCTATCTTCTAAACTTACCCTCTCTCTGCTTGTATTCACTACGTTAGGCACACCTCCAGACTTCTCGGTGAAGACCGAAACAAAGAAGTCATTGAGCATCTCCGCCATTTCCAAGTTCCCTGTTACTGCTTCTCCCTCCTCACTAAGCAGTGGGCCTACCCTGTCCTTGGTCTTCCTCTTGCTTTTAATGTATTTATAAAAGGTCTTCTTGTTTCCCTTTATGCCTGTAGCTAGTTTGATCTCATTTTGTGCCTTTGCCTTTCTAATCTTGCCCCTGCATTCCCGTGTTGCTTGCCTATATTCATCCTTTGTTAGTTGTCCTAGTTTCCATTTTTTATATGACTCCTTTTTTATTTTGAGATCATGCAAGATCTCCTTGTTAAGCCAAGCTGGTCTTTTGCCATATTTTCTATCTTTCCTACACAGCGGAATTGTTTGCTTTTGGGCCCTTAACAACGTCCCTTTGAAATACTTCCAACTCTCCTCAGTTGTTTTTCCCTTCAGTCTTGCTTCCCATGGGACCTTACCTACAAGTTCTCTGAGCTTATCAAAATCTGCCTTCCTGAAATCCATAACCTCAATTGTGCTGGTCTCCCTTCTACCTTTCCTTAAGATCATGAACTCTATTATTTCATGATCACTGTCCCCTATACTGTCTTCCACTTTCAAGTTCTCAACTAGTTCCTCCCTATTTGTTAAAACCAAATCCAGAACAGCTTCTCCTCTGGTAGCTTTTTCAACCTTCTGAAACAGAAAGTTGTCTCCAATGCAGTCCAGAAACTTATTGGATAGCCTGTGCCTCGCTGTGTTAGTTTCCCAACATATGTCTGGATAGTTGAAGTCCCCCATCACCACCAAATCTTGGGCTTTGGATAGTTTTGTTAATTGTTTAAAAAAGGCCTCATCCACCTCTTCCACCTGGCTAGGTGGCCTGTAGTAGACTCCTAGCATGATATCACCCTCGTTTTTTACCCCTTTTAGCTTAACCCAGAGACTCTCTACACAGCTATCTCCTACGTTCATCTCCACTTCAGTCCAAGTGTGTACATTTTTAATATACAAGGCAACCCCTCCTCCCTTTTTTCCCTGTCTGTCCTTCCTGAGCAAGCCGTACCCTTCCATACCAACATTCCAATCATGTGTCCCATCCCACCAGGTTTCTGTAATACCAATGATATCATAGTTGTATTTATTGGTTAGCAATTCCAGTTCTTCCTGCTTATTACCCATACTTCTCGCATTTGTATATAGGCATCTAAGATACTGATTTGATCTTGCCTCCCTGTTGTGCCCTGACCCTCCTTTCTCCTTGCCATTATAGGCCGTAGTCCCCCCCATTCCTAGGACTATGCATCCCATGCCTTCTGGTAGATGGTGTTCCCTTCTGATTTCTTCCCTGAGAGGTCCCTGTCAAAGCAGTCTTCACCGCAGTGCCTGTGGAGAAAGCCTAAAAGCGGTTACAGGAATGAAGAGTTGGCCTTCTTCTTCGAGAGGTTACATGCTGCCAGTTCTCTTCCTTGTCCTGTACTGCCCTGACTGGCTCTTCAGCCTGCCGTGCCTGCAGGATTAAATGCTGCCTTCTATCGAGGAATAGCGATAGAGATGCAGCCGTGTTAGTCTGGTCTAGCTGAAACAAAAGACAGATGTAGCACTGTGTAGCACTTTAAATACTAACAAGATGGTTTATTAGGTGATGAGCTTTCGTGGGCCAGACCCACTTCCTCAGATCAAATAGTGGAAGAAAATCAGCACAACCATATATACCAAAGTGATACAATCAAAAAAATGAACACATGTGAAATTGACAAATCAAATATTAGAACAGAGCAGGGGTGAGGGGGGAAGGTTAGTATCTGTGAGGTAATGACATAGGGGTGATAATTGGGGTAGCTATCTTTGTAATGGGTGAGATAATTACAGTCTTTATTTAAACCCATACATAAAATGTCAAATTTAAGCATGAATGACAGTTCTGAAGCTTCTCATTGAAATCTGGAGTTAAAGTGTCTTTGAAGCAATATGCATGTTTTAACGTCATTGAGGGAATGTATCACTTTGGTATACAGGCAGTCCCCGGGTTACATACAAGATAGGGACTGTAGGTTTGTTCTTAAGTTGAATTTGTATGTAAGTCGGAACTGGTACATATTGTAGGGGAAACTCTAGCCAAACATTTCTCCAGAGCTCAGTTTTATTCTCCCACACCTCACTTCCCTCAGTCCTTTATTCTCAAGCTGAGGTGTCTGCTGAGAAAAGCCGCTCTGCGTCTCCCTGGTCTGCTGGGGGGAAGCAGATAGTGCGGGGTTGCCTCACCCCGTTTGTAAGTAGGGATCCGATGTAAGTCGGATCCATGTAACCCAGGGACTGCCTGTATATGGTTGTGCCGATTTTCTTCCACATATTGATCTGAGGAAGTGGGTCTGGCCCACAAAAGCTCATCACCTAATAAACCATCTTGTTAGTCTGTAAAGTGCTACATAGCACTTAGTCTTCTATCGAGGAAGTCTTCATCCTCTCTGATGGAACGTAGGGTCGATACTTGGGCCTCAAGTCCTGTAATTTTTTCTTCCAAAATGGTGACCAGCTTGCACTTAGTGCAGATGAAATCCCTTCTTTCGTCTGGAGGAAGACAAACATGGCACATGCTGTACAGATAACAACAGCAGACCTATCACCATCCATACCTGCCTTCCTTTGGAGAAATGCCTCAGATGTTCTTAAATGTCTACTTGAAGGGCAGGAGTGTAGTGAAAAGATTGTAAAGAATGGCGAGTGTCTCTCATCCCCTTCCAATCTCCCTGTTAGCAGCTCCTGTTCGCAAGCTCCCTGGTTGCTGACTCACTCCTTTATAAAGCCCTGGAGTGCCTGATAGCCCCTCCCCCATTTAAGGCTCCACCAATGAGTAGAGGCTTCATGATTTCAAACCCTGATTAGAAGCTCACAGCTTCCACCTGTCCATGAGTCCATTTCATAAAGCATGCGGAGGGGAGGGCAGTCCGTCACACCTTCCCCCTGAAATTACTGCAGAGGATTGGACAGTGTCCAGTGCGAAGGCCGTGTATCCAGCAGTCCACTGGGGCTTTGGCTGCACAACCATCCAGTGCCCCCAAACCTTGTGCTGTCACTTCTGGCAGTTCTTCCAAAGTTGTGGGTTCCTGTCCTCCGATGATCCAAAACACATCAGGCTACGTCTACACTGGCACCCTTTTCCGGAAATGCTTAAAACTGAAAGTTTTCCGTTATAAGTATTTCCAGAAAAGGCGTGTCTACATTGGCAGGATGCTTTTCAGGAAAAGCACTAATTCCGGAAAAGCGTCCGTGCCAATGTAGATGCGCTTTTCCGCAAAAAAGCTCCAATCGTCATTTTCGCGATCGGGGCTTTTTTGCGGAAAACACTACTGTGCTGTTTACACTGGCCCTTTTCTGGAACAGTTTTCTGGAAAAGGACTTTTGCCCGAATGGGAGCAACATAGTTTTTCCGGAAAAACACTGACAATTTTACATTAGATCGTCAGTGCTTTTCCGGAAATTCAAGGGGCCAGTGTAGACAGCTGGCAAGTTATTCTGGAAAAGTGGCTGATTTCCCAGAATAAGTGGCCAGTGTAGACACAGCCATGGGGGTATAGCAGGTGCGCGACTACGGGGGGCCCTGGCCCCAGGCACGTGGCTATGGGGGGCGCCGGCCCCAGGTGTGCGGCCACGCGGCGCATAGGGTTGCTGGCCCCAGGCACGTGGCTCATAGGGGTGTGGCATATGCGCGGCCCTGCCCCTGGGTGCACGAGTGTCCCTGCCCTCTGGTGCCTGGCAGGCCTGGCAGGCCACCAGCCACATCCCATCATCCCATGGTGCCCGGCAGCTTCAAAAAGCGCCTGCTTTTGCGGAAAAACTTGCCAGTCTAGATGCACTCTATCAGTTTAGGATTAAACAAAGACTGTGAATGGCTAGCCAACTACAAAAGCAGTTCCTCCTCTCTTGGTGTTCACACCTCCACATCAGCTGCTAGTAGTAGGCCTCATCCTCCCTGACTAAATTGACATCATTATCTCTGGCCTTCCTCATGATTGGTACTCCTTTCTTTTCATGTGCCTGTATATTTATACCTGCCTCTGCAATTTTCTCTACATGCATCTGACAAAGTGGGACTTTGCCCACAAAAGCTTGTGCTCCAATAAATCTACTTTCAGGTTTTATTCATCCCTTTAGCTTTGCTCAGTACATGTGGTGGGAGTGAGAGACACTGATGAGGCATCACTGGAGACTGTTTATCGTCAGCTGTTTATCCTCAGAATGAGACAGCCTTGGGTTGAAGTGCAAAGTTCTCACCCGCAGCCTGTTTTGTGTTGCCCTGCCCCAGACTTGGAGGGAGCCTGCACAGAAGAAAGAAGGAAGTGTGGACCCCATGGTGCGTTCAGTCCTTAGCCTCTTGGCTGAGGTGCCAACAAGGGTCCCAGCAGTAAGTGGATCCCTTTCATTCTGTGTAATAGGTGCTCGTCTGAGACCATTGTACATAGGCCGCCAAAGAGCAATCAGATGGGAACCACTTTTGCTATCCGGGGGCTGTTACTCCATCTGATGACAACTGACCTGAGATTTGATACTATCTAAAAATGCCTTTAGACAAAGTTATTTCTCTCTTGTCCCCAGATATTTGTTGCAAGGTCTGTTCTGATGCAGCTTTGGCTTTCTCTTCCTATTTCTGCAGGCTTGAAGCAGTTGTACCAGGACCAGCAACTGTGTGATGCCACCATAGTGGCTGGAGGAAAGAGGTTCCCATGCCACAGGTTAGTTTCTGCTTCTGTACATTTTAAAATCTTCCATCTAAAAAAAGATCATTATATAAACCTAACACAATAACCTGGCATTTCTTAATCACGTCATTTAAACATTTCATTTGTCTTTACCTCCTGGTTGGCTTTATTTGTCTCTGAATTCCTTGGAGATTTCCTTGGAGAAGTCCCTTAGCCTTGTGATTTTCTAATTCTGAGCTGGTTATTTCAACCCATCCCACTCTCAGACCTACACCAATGTAAGTCAGGGATAATTCCACTGGAGTTCCACCAGAGTGAAGAAGGGAGCCAAGAGGTAGGATGGCAAGGGGCACAGGTGAATTGCAGTTGCAATCTAGTTTGAATTACAGGTTGGACACCCCCCTGGTGGAACGAGGTGTACAGCTAGTTCAGAATAGGAAGCCTAGTCCGAACTACCTACTCCGTGCCGCGTGTAGGCGCGTGTAGGCGCGGGCACGGAGTCCGAACTAGCGGGGATTTAAAAATGGCGGCGCCCGGCAAGATGCAAATGAAGCCCGGGAAATACAAATCCCGGGCTTCATTTGCAACTTCGGTTGCCTACATTAACCACCCTAGTTCGAACTAGGGTGGTTAATGTAGGCAACCGAAGTTGCAAATGAAGCCCGGGATTTGTATTTCCCGGGCTTCATTTGCATCTTGCCGGGCGCCGCCATTTTTAAATCCCCGCTAGTTCGGACTCCGTGCCCTGGACACAATCTTCCTGATGTAGCCTCACCAGAGCTGAATAAAGGGGAATAATCACTTCTCTGGATCTGCTGGCAACGCTCCTCCTAATGCACCTAATATGCTATTAGCCCTTTTGGCTACCAGGGCACATAGAACCATAGAGCTGGAAGAGACCTCAGAAGGTCATCAAGTCCAGCCCCCTGCTCTAGGCAGGACCAATCCCAACTAAATCAACCTGGCCAGGGATTTGTCAAGCCAAGACTTAAACACCTCTAGGGATGGAGACTCCACTACTTCCCTAGGTAACCCATCTCAGTGCTTCACCACCCTCCTAGGGAAATAGTTTTTCCTAATATCTAACACTGTTGACTCCTATCCAGCTTCTCATCCACTGTAACCCCCAAGTTCTTTTCTGCAGAACTGCTACTTAGCCATTTGGTCCTCAGCCTGTACCAATGCTTGGGATTCTTCCGTCCCAAGTGCAGGACTCAACACGTGTCCTTGTTGAACCTCATCAGATTTGTTGTGGCCCAATCCTCTAATCTGTCCAGGTCACTCTGGACTCTATCCCTGCCCTCCAGTGTATCTACCCTGCCCTCCTAGCTTAGTGTCATCTGCAAACTTGCTGAGGGTGCAATCCATCCCCTCATCCAGGTCATTAATAAAGATGTTGAACAAAACCGGTCCTAGAATCAAATCTTGGGGCTCTCTGCTAGATACCAACCTGACATTGAGCCGCTGATCACTCCCCGTTGAGCCCAACAGGCTAGCCAGCTTTCCAGCCACCTCAGTCCACTCATCCAATCCATACTTCCTTAACTTGCTGGCAAGAATATGGTGGGAGACTGTATCAAAAGCCTTGCTAAAGTCAGTGGATGTGATATACCTTGACTTTCCCACGTCCACAGAGCCAGTTACCTCAGCATAGAAGCTAATCAGATAGATGAGGCACGACTTGCCCTTTGTGAATCCATGTTGACCATTCCTGATCACACTCCCCTCTTCCAAGTCCTTCACAATGGATTCCTTGAGGATCTTCTACATGATTTTTCCAGGGCGGGAGTGAGGCTGACTGGTCTGTAGTTCCCTGGATCGTCCTTCTTCCCTTTTTAAAGATGGGCACTGCATTTGCCTTTTTAACTTGTTCTTCTAACCCTACCCTCTTCCCACTAGCATTCACTATGTCAGGCATCCTTCATCATCAGACTTCTTGGTGAAGACCAAAACAGCAGAAGGCTCTCTCTTGCCGCCTGCCCTCCCTCTCCACTGCTCCCCCCGCTTTTCCTGTGTGCCCTTCCCCCCGCTTCTCTTGTTTGGCACCTGAGTCTCCCCTTCTTTTCTTAGTTACCCTCCCTCAATGCAGTTTCAATTCCCCCATGTTGTTGTTAATATAATCTACCTCCCCCCTCCCCCCGTTTCCCTAGTGCAGCCGGAGGAGCCGGTCTTACCATCCTGTGCTGGGAGTTGTACCTCTTATTCCTTAATCCCCCTCCCTCCTTTCTGTATCACTGCCCTCCCACCCTGCTTCCAGCCTAGTGGGGGTGGGAGGTGTGAGGAACCTTCCTTTTCCCCTCCCCCCTTCTTCCTCTTGCTCCCTCCCATGGCACTTTTGTCTTCTCCCAATTGTTTGATCTTGTCCTTCCCTCCATGCCCATGACTACGATGAAGGGGCTGTCGTGTGACGTTCCTGCCACCCCTTCTCCTCCTGTCCTCACATCTCCCTCTGCAAATGTTGACCCCTGAGGCTGCCGGGCTAGCCGCTCATACAACGGTGGTGGTGAACCTAGATGGGGATTCTGGGACCCTGACTGCTCCTGGCAAGGCACCTTCTGCCACCAGTGTCACCATGAAAAAGGTCCCTCTGAAGGGCAGGAAGGACCAGAGAACCTGCACTAAACCTCCTGCAATGGTGGCTCACCCCCTGGAACAGCCCCAGTGCCAGCCATGGCTTCCCCTCTTTCCCACCCCCTGTTTTCTCCACCAGCTCTGATGGTGACAGTGTCCCAGCCCCCAGGCTATGTCTAGACTGCATCCCTCTGCCGACAGAGGGCTGCAAATCAAGCACTTTGGAAGTGCAAATGAGCCCGGGATTTAAATCTCCCGGCTTCATTTGCATACTCACGTTCCGACACTGTGCCTATCAGGCTCAGTGTCGAAAGTGAAAGTAAAGTCTAACCACGGTTCTGCCGCGTTTCTGCGGACAGCTCCGGTACTCCTCAAAAAACGAGGAGTACAGGATCTGCCGAAAAAGCCCCCGCTGTTGGCAGCCTCTAAGATGTTTGGGAAAGTAATATTCTTCCCGGCATCCAAGACCACCACCCAGGAGGTGGTGGAGAAGGGTTTGGCGGTGGGAGTAGTCCATGTCCTGCTCAAGCCGGGTGGTATTTCCTCTGTTCTTCTCTTCCTCCCCAACACTGCCCTACTGCCTTTCCTCTCCACTTTGGGGAGGCCCTTGTCAGTCCTAAGTCCCCTTTCTCTGGGCTCCATGGTTCCCACCCTCCACCATGTCCTCTCCTTCCACCGGCAGATTCAAGTCCAACTACTGCCGGTGGGATGGGGTGGGGCAGAAAAGCCCTAGAAGGGTCGTTTCTGATGCCCCATCAAGGGGCCCAGTACCGGGTGTATTACGCAGTGGGGGAAGTCCGGTGTTTTCTCTGTCGGGTACCGGGACACGTCCAAAGGGACTGCCTCCTGGTCCAGCCCAGAGGGGCACTCAGGACCCCCAGCACCTGGGAGGGCACCAGCCCCACCATCGCCGGTGGCCCTGACAATCCAGATCCTGGGGTCACCCCTCCTCCAACCGCAACCATCGTCAGTCCCACTCTGGCTCCACTGAGCCCACATGAGCGTGTGGGTGCTGCTGTCACTGCAATAAGTGGCAAGGCCAGGCCCATGGAGGAGAGGGTGGCGGGGTCAGCAACGAGACTTGGACAGGGCCTACCTCAGGGGTACGTTCTTCCTTCCCCCACTGCCCAGCCCCCTTCTTCCATTGCACTCCCACTGCTGCCCTTGTCCCCTGGCTCTTCCTCCTCTAACGTCCAAACCTCCTCCTCTGAGGGCTGGGAGCTCGCCATGGGGAGGCACCTCAAGTGGGCCCAGCGCTCCACCATGCCTACGAAAAGGGAGGATGCCCTCCTCGTTCCTCAGAGCATGGATGTTGGAGCCGGCCTTCCCTCTGAACCCCTGGATGCTTCACAGCGCTGTGAGGTGGCTGAGGTGACCGTGGCAGTTGTGGAGGGAATAAAGGTCTCCCTCGCCAAGTCCCTGCATGGGGAGGCCACGGAGGATACTCCCACTGCCCCCACTTTGACTGTGTGGAGGAAACTGCAGACCCTGCCACCCACAAGGGCCACCACCTGGTGGCAGGCGGCAGATTCGCCTTCCTCTCACAGGAAGTTGAGGGCTTAGGTTTGACCCTGGCTGCCTCAGAGGGGGATCATCTTGTCCCGGAGGGATGAAAGCTGTCCTCTCCTTCTCTTTCTGACCCACTGTCCTCCCCTCTCCCTCCTCCGAGTTGCCCCAGGATGAAACCATCTCTCCGGCTGTCAGTAGCGCTTCGGCCGTGGCCTCTGAGCCCCTGGGCGCCTCTAGTGGGCAGGAGTTCCCCTTGTTCCTCATTACCCCTGGTGCTGGGGCCTCCAGTGCTGCACTCCCTGTGGCACCGGGGCCCGGCGCGGGGGAAACACTAACCTGCCACCACTACCGATTCCCTGACCCGCAAGGAGGCACCATGTCCCGGTGCCTCTCCCACTGAGGCTTCTGACCTTGTTTCCACTCCCAACACCTGTCCCACCCCTGTTCCCTGCTCAGCCCCTCTCCCAACTGAATTTCCCACTCCTCCGCCTCCACCCCTTCCTCCTACTCCTTTTCCTAATTCCCCTCCGCCTGCCCCTACTCTGCTTCCTCCACTCCCCGATTCCTCCCTGACCTCTTTCTATTGCTGCTGCCCCTGGGGGCACCACGTTTCGATCAGGCGATGGCCCCTGGGAGGCATTTTTCGTTTCTCCTGCTCCCCGCATGTCTGGACCAGGTCTCCCGCTGCCACCACCTTCAGGGTCCCTGATTTCCTATGTCAGTCAGTCACAGGGCCCGTAGGGGGGTCTGGCCTGAGGACGCTTCGTGGCCTGAGGCCCCGATGCCCGATGTGCTGAAGGGCAAGATGTGCAGCTTCTTGAAGAGCATCTGTGGCTCCGAGAACAAAGTGGCTCTCGCCCTTCAGTGCTGAGGAGACTCCCATCTCATCCTCCAGACCATAAGGACCATTTTAGGAGAGGGTAAAGGGACTGTGCAGCGGGAGGCTGCGGCCTACCAGAGGGTCTGTGGCTTCCGTGACGCTCAGCTCATGTTAGGGTATGGTCCCGGTTTGCTGCGGGGCCCAGTGGGGACTGCCAGCACTCCCGCCAGCAAGGATCCTCCCCAGCCCTCTCATCCTTGCCACTCTGAACACAGGGGCTGTAGGCTGGGTCTCCGCAGGTGTCAGGTACTCTCCTTCCTTCAGAAGCGCCTGTCATTTTTGTGCAGGACGCTCATACCACTCTGACCACAGGCTAGCAGGTGGCTGGAGTGTGGGGACAGGGTCAAGGCAGAGTGGCAGCCCTGTTCTCCCTGGGCCTACAGCCCGAGGGGCTGGGATCACCAAGGTTGTGCAGGGCTACTGGCTGCACCTCCAGGTTCAGGTGGAGGGACTGACATTAAAGCTTATTAACATCTACACCCCGACGTCCGGCCCGGAAAGGCTCCACTTCTTCCAGCAGGTGTCTGCTTTTCTTGGCTTTCTGGAGCCTCGCGAGTGCCTGGTCCTGGGTGGGGTTTTCAATTGCACCCTCGAGGAACGGGACCACATGGGGACCAAGCAGTGCCAGGCCATCTCAAACGTCCTCAGGGAGACAATAGACCAACACTCCCTGGTGGATGACTGGCATGACCACCTCTCAGTTGAGCACACGGCCTTCACCTTTGTCCAGGTGCAGGGTCAGTGGTTGTTTCACTACTGGTTGGACAGCATTTATCTTTCTTGTCCTCCAGCATCCAGCCAGCCCCGTTTTCAGACCACCACTTGTTGGCCCTGACAGCCTCTCTGTCTTTGGAGAGGCAAGGGCCATCTACTGGCATTTCAACAATAGCTTGCTGGAGGACATGGGCTTTGTAGCATCCTTCCAGGAGTTCTGGCTGGCCTGGCATGGGCAGCAGTGCACCTTTCCCTCGGCACAGCAGTGGTGGGATGTGGGGAAAGGGCACACACAGCTCTTTTGCCCCCAGTGGTGCAGCTGGTGGCAGCATGCGGTGATAGAGCAGTTGGAACGGGACATTTTAGAGCTAGAGAGGTGGCTGGCCACTGGTCCCAGAGATCCATCCCTCTGCAGAACGTACTAGGAGAAGTGGGGTGCCTTTGTTCTTTCTTGCTTCCACCTCCTCTGGGAGATGGATGGAGGCTCCCACTTCCTCTAGTCCCTGGAGAAAAAGAGGGGGGCTAAAAAGCAAATCATCTGTCTTCTGGCAGAGGATTGCATCCCCCTCATGGATCCAGTGGAAATGCACGAGAGGGCTCGAGTCTTCTACGCCTCCCATCTCCCCGGATCTGACGACTCCTGCAGAGTTCTCTGGAATGAACTCCCAACAGTCAGCGCAGGTGACTGGGGCTGGCTGGAGTGGCCTCTCTCTCTCTTGCCAAGTTCTTGGAAGCCCTCCATCTCATTCCACCAATAAGTACCCAGGCATGGTCGGGATGACCATGGAGTTCTACCGCATGTTCTAGGACGTCCTCAGCCGGGACCTTGCCAGTGTCTGGGCCAACTCCTTGGAGAAGAGAGTCCTCCTTTTATAGTGCAGGTGAGCTGTGCTCACCTGGCTGCCTAAGAAGGGGGACCTCCACGATCCAAGGAATTGATATCCCATTTCGGTCCTCATAAGTTCAAAATCCTGACCCATGAGGTCCTGAATTCACTCCTAGATCTGAAGGAGGGAAAGAATCACTTTGGCTATCTAGTCTGACCCCCTGCTTTATAAAGGACAGAATTTCACTATACCCAGCTCCTCCATCACCTTCTGAGATGTCCTACATCTTAGACAGTCCTGCCTCTCCATCCCAGTTACTGTCGATCTTTGTTATGTTGCAGTGCTCAACGTGCCAGGCTCCAGGCTTGCTGAATCACAGAATCATAGAACACTAGAACTGGAAGGGAGCTTGAGAGGTCAAGTCTAGTCCCCTGCCCTCATGGCAGGACCGAGCACCATCTAGACCAGCGGTTCCCAACCTTTTCCAGATGGGGACCCATTTTGACAATTCAGGAAGACTTGATGACCTAAGGCAATTAAAAAATGGGGGGAAGAGAGAGGGCAGAGCCACCTGGGGAGACACTTGGCGACCCTTTTGAAATGTAATGGCGACCCATATTTGGGTCCTGACCCATAGGTTGGGAAACCCTGATCTAGACCATCCTTGATAGGTGCTTCTCTAACCTGCTCTTAAATATCTCCAGCGATGGAGATTAAACACCCTGACAGTTAGGAAGTGTTTCCTAGGGTATGTCTAGACTACATGACTCCGTCGACGGAGCCATGTAAACTAGTTTACCCAGCATAGGCAAATATTAAAATAAACATGGCCGCTGCGCTGTGCCGACGATCAGCTGATCTGGCACAGCGTGGCAATCTAGACGCGGATCTGTAGGTTGGGGAAGCCTTTGCCGACTGATCCCTTAAACCTCGTTTCATGAGGCATAAGGGTGCCGACGATCAGCTGATCTGGCACAGCGTGGCAATCTAGACGCGGATCTGTAGGTTGGGGAAGCCTTTGCCGACTGATCCCGTAAAACTCGTTTCATGAGGCATAAGGGATCAGTCGGCAAAGGCTTCCCCAGCCGACAGATCCATGTCTAGACTGCTGCGCTGTGCCGGATTAGCTGATCGTCGGCACAGTGCGGCGGCCATGTTTTCTTTAATGAAGTGGGGATTATGTAAATCCCCACTTCTTTGCCTATGCCGGGTAAACTAGTTTACATGGCTCTGTCGATGGAGCCATGTAGTCTAGACATACCCGTAATGTCCAGCCTAAATCCCCCTTGCTGTAATTTAAACCCATTGCTTCTTGTCCTAGCCTCAGAAATTAAGGAGAATATTTCTTCTCCTTCCTCCTTGTGACATCCTTTTAGGTATTTGAAAGCCGTTGTCATGTCCCCTCTCAGGTTTTTTTTTTCAAAACTAAACACACCCAGTTCATTCAGTCTTCCCTGACAGGCCATATTTTCTAGACCTTTACTCATTTTTGTTACATTTCCTTCTTTCTTCTGTTCAGGTTCTCTCCAAGTTTGGGGCAGAGCAACACAGAACAGGCTGCGGGCGGGAACTTTGCCCTTCAACATGAGTTTGTCTCATCCTGAGGATAAACAGCTGACTATAAACCATCCCCAGCGATGCTTCGTCAGTGTTGCTCTCTCCCACTACATATACTTAGCAAAACTAAAGGGATGAATAACATTTGCAAGTAGTTTTCAGCTCAGTCGTGCTCTTTCGTGACCATGACAAGACCAAGGCAGCATCCTCAGACTGTTGCACAGACGGGACCCAGTCTGTGTGATAGGACCCAGATGTAAAGAGCATTACACCTACCTTCTCGAATATAGTGTCCTAGTAACAGCCTCATGCCTGCCCATTTGGGAATTGATCAGCTCATTTCTGACATGTGCTTGGATTCATGGATAACGTGGCAGGATCTCAGGGTCTATAACAGGCCAGCTTCAAAGAATCCCAGAAAGAAAAAAAAAAACAAACAAGAGCACAAAGCCATTTTGGGAATACCTCTAGCTGGCCTCCCATCAGAAGGGTTATCAGCAAGTAAAGGGGCAGGTATGGAGCATGTCCTTGCTGGCCAACTCGATCCGTGCCGAAGCAATGGAGATCCTTTTCCAGGGCCATGAATCTGCCCCACTGACAATGTCTCCTCTCTCTCGGCACAGGATTCTGCTGGCAGCTGTCAATCCCTACTTCCGGGCCATGTTTGTCAACTCCTTCAAAGAATCCCAGGATGGAGAAGTTCTGCTTCAAGACATGGCCCCCTCCACCGTGAAGACCATCCTGCACTATCTCTACACGGAGGAGATCTCAGTTACTTTGGAGACAGCTCAGGCTGTATTCACCGCAGCCAGCAGGCTTCAGATCCTCCCTCTGCTGGAGATCTGTTCCAGGTAACGCTGATGGGCAAACAACCACAACTGCACCAGAGCGGGCTATTGGGTCACATGTTTCCTGCCCACGTGGGGCTTCGGTTCTCTGGATCGTTCTGTTTTGTACCGGTTGGTATAATAGATGCAGGACAAAGCTGCCAAACATTTAAATTAAAGCAGGATCTTCCTAAGGAGACCACTGTGTGCGTTGGCCAGGAGGGTCTCCTGGATGAAGACGGGACATTGGGAACAGGCAGAACAAAGGGAGAAGTGGCCCAAGCTACGCCCCTTCTGCCCAAGGGCCCACCCTTTCCAGGCCACAAGAGGCAAGCCCCCATTGTGGGCTCTGACCCCAGCTCAAGGCTAGCGCCTCCTCACCTTAGCACCAGTTGTGCAACTGTGCCACCCCAGCCCTCACCCTGGCCCGGAGCTCCAAGTAACCCCAGCTCCTCCCACATCCCAGAACGCCAGGCTGCATGTCCCACAGCTGCACTGCTGCCACAGTCTTCCTGGCCGCCAGACAGCCACGTAGCCTCAGCCTTTGCTGCCAGCTGAAGGGTGGGTAGAGTCACCACCCCTGTCTTTTGGTGAAGGCAATGGCTTCGTGGCTTAATCTGTGGGTGTGGGTTGATGCAGCAAGGGATACAAGCCAGAGACAAGTACTGGAAGTAAGAGGAGCCCACAGATATGCCAGATCTACTACTTCTGGAAAACTGGAAAAAGAAGTCACTTAGCAATGGTTGTGAAGACCGGGACTTTAACAAAGTTCAAAAAAGAACTAGATACATTCCTGGAGGTTAGGTCCATCAATGGCTATTAGCCAGGATGGGCAGGAATGGTGTCCCCAGCCTCTGTTTGTCAGGGGCTGGAAATGGACGCTAGGAGAGGTATCACTTGATGATTCCCTGTTCTGTTCACTCCCTTGGAGTATCTGGCACTGGCCACTGTCGGAAAACAGGATACTGGGCTAGATGGGCCTTTGATCTCACCCAGTATGGATGCTCTTATGTTCACTTTTGCCATTCCCACATTTTCTGTTCTTGTTTTTGCCCCTTCATTGAGTAATAGGCCTACTCCATCCTTGGTCTCCCTCTTGCTTTTAATGTCTTTGTAAAATGTGTTCTTATTAGCCTGTATGTGTCTAGCTAGCTTAATCTCATTTTGTGCTTTGGCCTTTCTAATTTTGTCCCTACGTCCCTGGGTAATTTGATCCAATTTCCACTTTCTAGGATTAATTTTTGAGTTTCAGATAATTTAAAATCTCCTGGTTGGTTTCTTCCCAGCTTCCTATCTTTCTGGTAGTGGGATAGTTTGCTATTGTGTCCTTAATAATGAGTGTCCTTAATAAAACTGCCATTCCTTTTGAACTGTTTTTCTATTTCCACTTGCTTTCCATGCGATTCAAGCTACCAACTTCCTGAATTCTCTAAAGTCTGCCTTTAGCCAATGGAAGATGCCAATGAGAGGGCTGTGTCCTAAACTCAATCCCTCTCATGGATGTAGGCCCCTGTCAAGTTAGGGCATTTTAGGGCCTATTGATAGCAAACGCAGATAAACTCAGATAATCATGTAATAAGACTGCCCCCTATGGATATGTCTAGACTGCAAGCCTCTTTCAAAAGAAGCTTTTTCGAAAGATACTTTCGAAAAAGCCTCTTTCGAAAGAGAGCATCTAGACTGCATGCGGAACTTTCGAAAAAGCAAGCCGCTTTTTCGAAAGAAAGCAGCAAGTGAGTCTGGATGCTCTCTTTCTAAAAAGCCCTGTTTGCTTTCAAGAACACCTTTTTTTGAAAGAGCCTTTCGAAAAAAGGCGTTCTTCCTCGTGGAATTAGGTTTACCGCCGTCGAAAGAAAAGCCGCGTTCTTTCGATTTAATTTCGAAAGAACGCGGCTGCAGTCTAGACGCAGGTGAAGTTTTTTCGAAAAAAGGCTACTTTTTTCGAAAAAACCCCTGAGTCTGGACACAGCCTGTGAGACTGGCACCAGATACCATATATGATATAGTATTTCAGGACACAGAAGGTCTGCATGAAGGTTTTTCAGTGTCAGCATAATGCCTTTGTGGAATAACCTGACCCAGCCAGAAAAGCTGGATCCAGCATATTCTAGTACCTAGTTAGTTTCCTAACTTGACGTATCATTACTATATAAGGGTGTATCTACACTGCACCGTTATTTTGAGCTAACAAAGCGAGCATCTACACAGCAATTCCATACTTTTGAAATAATGTCAAAATAACGGATGGTTAATTCCGAAATCTGTAAACCTCGTTGCATGAAGAATAACGCCCATTTCGAAATAAGGGTCCTCCAGGAAATCCCAGAGGTGCCCTGCTGGCCACTCCGTCCACACTCCTCAGGACTCTATAGTTCCCCTTCCCCTGCAGCCCTTAAAGCTGCAGCCACAGGGGAAAGAGCTTGTGGCAGGAAGCCGGCCCTGACAGCATCCAGCCACACTGCTGCTGCCTGAGCACATTGTCTGGACACATTGACTGTCCCTTGAGCCCCCCCCCAAGAGCCCTCCCCCACTCTCAGAGAGTTTGTGATTCTAAGGAAGGGTAGAACAGCAAACTTAGAGACAATGGATTTCAGGAAGGCGGATTTTGGTAAGCTCAGAGAGCTGGTAGGTAAGGTCCCATGGGAGGCAAGACTGAAGGGAAAAACAACTGAAGAGAGTTGGCAGTTTTTCAAAGGGAAATTATTAAAAGCACAAAAGCAAGCTATTCCACTGCATAGGAAAGATAGAAAATATGGCAAAAGGCCTCCTTGGCTTAACCAGGAGATCTTGCATGATCTCAAAATAAAAAGGAATCATATACAAAATGGAAACTAGGACAAATTACAAAGGATGAATATAGGCAAGCAACACGGGAATGCAGGGGCAAGATTAGAAAGGCAAAGACACAAAATGAGCTCAAACTAGCTACAGGAATAAAGGGAAACAAGAAGACATTCTATAAATATATTAGAAGCAAAAGGAAAACCAAGGACAGGGTAGGCCCATTGCTCAGTGAGGAGGGAGAAACAGTAACAGGAAACTTGGAAATGGCAGAGAAGCTTAATGACTTCTTTGTTTCAGTCTTCACTGAGAAGTCTGATGAAGGAATGCCTAACATAGTGAATGCCAGTGGGAAGAGGGTAGGTTTAGAAGCTAAAATAAAAAAGGAACAAGTTAAAATCACTTAGAAAAGTTACATGTCTGCAAGTCACCGAGGCCTGATGAAATGCATCCTCGAATACTTAAGGAGCTGATAGAGGAGGTATCTGAGCCTCTAGCTATCATCTTTGAAAAATCATGGAACACAGGAGAGATTCCAGAAAGCTAGAAAAGGGCAAATCTAGTGCCCACCTATAAAAAGGGAAATAAGAACAACCCAGGAAACTACAGACCAGTCCGCTTAACTTCTGTTCCAGGAAAAATAATGGAGCAAGTAATTAAGGAAATCATCTGCAAACACTTGGAAGATAGTAAGGTAATAGGTGAGAGCCAGCATGGATTTATAAGGAACAAATCATGTCAAACCAATCTGATAGCTTTCTTTGATAGGATAATGAGTCTTGTGGATAAGGGAGAAGTGGTGAACATGTCATACCTAGACTTTAGGTTTGATATGGTCTCGCATGATATTCTTATCAATAAACTAGGCAAATACAACTTAGATGGGGCTACTATAAGGTGGGTGCATAACTGGCTGGATAACCGTTCTCAGAGAGTAGTTATTAATAGTTCACAATCCTGCTGGAAAGGCATAACAGGTGGAGTTCCACAGGGGTCTGTTTTGGGACCGGTTCTGTTCTAGATCTTCATCAACAATATAGATATTGGCATTATTAAGTTTGCAGATGATACCAAGCTTCGAGGGTTGCAACTGCTTTGGAGGATAGGGTCCTAATGCAAACTAATCTGGACAAATTGGAGATATGGTCTGAGGTAAACAGGACGAAGTTTAATATGGACAAATACAAAGTGCTCCACTTAGGAAGGAACAATCAGTTTCACACATACAGAATGGGAAGCGACTATCTAGGAAGGAGTACGGCAGAAAGGGATGTAGGGATTATAGTGGACCACAGGCTAAATATGAGTCAACAGTGTGACGCTGTTGCAAAAAAAAGCAAACATGATTCTAGAATTCATTAACAGGAGTGTTGTGAGCAAGACACAGTAAGTCATTCTTCCGCTCTACTCTGCACTGATTAGACCTCAGTTGGAGTATTGTGTCCAGTTCTGGGCACCACATTTCAAGAAAGATGTGGAGAAATTGGACAGTGTCCAGTGAAGAGCAGCAAGAATGATTAAAGAGCTAGAGAACATGAGCTTTGAGGGAAGACTGAAAGAACTGGGCTTCTTTAGTTTTGAAAAGAGATGTCTGAGAGAGGACATGATAGCCATTTTCTAAAAGGGTGTCATAAGGAGGAGGTAAAACAATTGTTCTCCTTGGCCTCTGAGGACAGGACAAGAAGCAATGGGCTTAAACTGCAGCAAGGGAGGTTTAGGTTGGACATTAGGAAAAAGTTCCGAACTGTCAGGGTGGTTAAACACTGGAATAAATTGCCCAGGGAGGTTGTGGAATCCCCATCTCTGGAGATATTTAAGAGCAGGTTAGATAAATGTCTATTGGGGATGGTCTAAACAGTACCGGGTCCTGCCATGAGGGCAGGGGACTGGACTCGATGACCTCTCAAGGTCCCTTCCAGTCCTAGGATTCTATGACTCGATGATTCAGGGAACAGTCTGGTGGCACCCAGGAGCCTTCCATGCACCACAAGAGGCATGCACCCTCCTGGTCTGGGGCAGAGATCCTGGCCCTCATTGAGGTGTGGGGACGAGGTGGAAAACCTCTAGGATCTCTGCTCCAGATGATGCGATGCCAATACCTACAGCCACATGGCCAATAACTGAGCCACCAAGGGCCACATCCAGACCCAGGAGCAGGTCTGGATGACAGTGAAGGAGCTCTGCCAGGCCTGTGCCAGGATGAGGGAGCTCAGCTCCCACTGCAGGGCAGAACCACATTCCCGGCCCTATCATCAGGAGCAGCACGGCATCTTGGGGGGAAGTGCACCCCCTTTCCCACCCCTGGGGAGTGACTCAGGATGGAGATGCCTGTAGTCACCCAGCCAGGGGGCAGAGTTGTGAGGAGGAGGAGGAGGAGGACCCTGATGCGGTCAGAACCGTCACCTCGGTGATCCTAGAGCCAGTATCCCACGGCCTCGATGTGTCTCAGGTATCCTCCGAGGCCGGGGAGGGAACATCAGGTGAGTGATCTCAGGCACATGACACAGACGGGGTGGAAGTGGCAGGCGGCGAGGTGCTGAGGCGTGGCCGGGGGATCGCGCTGCAGTCCGTGCACAGGGATACACACACAGCACCAGGAGGCAGCCCCTGGGCTCCTGCTCACAGCATTGGGGAGGTCACCCACACTTCAGACACCCGTGAGGGCCTCCCTTCTGCCACAAGCCACCACTAGAAGGAGGCTGGGGACAAGGACACACACTCAGGAGTGCTGCACATGGACAGGCCTGCTCTCTCGAGGCAGCACCCACTGCTGGGGACAGCGCTGTTAGGTCTGCATGAATCTGCTGCTCTCCCCTCCCGCACCTCCCCCCTCCCCCCTTATCCCTCAGTGGCCAGGGATACAAGGTCTCCCCACTTGGGATGCCACCACTGCCAGACCCAGCATGTTCATGGCATCGAGGCAAACCCAGCCAGCCCATGGCCCCTCCCACCTGTAGGATCTCAGTGTGACCAGCAATTTCCCAAGCTTGCTTGTCCCTGGGATGTGGGGGGGAGCCTGGTCCCCTGGGGACAGCTGGGCCCCTGTAAGACAGGGCCCACTGTCCAGGCCACACATGGCCTTGCTCCCAGGACATCACCTTCCTCTGACCCGGGAACTGTCGGTCTCGGCTCCCAGATGAGGGCAGAGCTTCAGGGACAGGGTCTCCAGGGACGACTGACCGTCTCTATTCTCCCCAGCCGGACTAGCTGTGAGACGGGGCCAGATGACACCTCCTGGGGACAGCCGCCTGACACCGGGGAGCAGCAAGCACTGGGGAATGCAGGAGGAACTGCTGTGGGAGCACATCTCTGTACTCTGGGCCCTGCACAAGACACTGGACCGAGGCTCTGGGAGGACGTGCAGTGTGGGCAGACATCTGGAGGGAGATGCTAAGGCAGGGACACAACATGTGCGCGACTGTCCAGTCTCTCCTCGCCCACCGGCTGCTCTCCTGCTTCAGTCCCAGCTCCTAGTCCTGCCCCTCCTCCCACATCCCCTATTTATTTTGGACTCATTATTGAAATCACCCTTGCAATCCTTGAAATCATTCTTTCTCCCAAATGCTGGTCCAGAGAAAGGATGGGATTTCCTCAAGCACCTAACTGACTTGGGAGCACAAGGAATTCAAGTTTCTAAATCACTTAGCTGCTTTTGAAAGCCTGCCACAATTCCTGTGAGGAGGAGGAGGATGGAAAACCATAATATTTTACTCCCCTATAAAAACACTTGCTCATCCCGCCAGAGTGGATGAGAATTTAGGAAGGCTGAGATGTGCCCCTTTTCCTCAGGTCCTCGGAATACACGTCTAAGAGCTTTTGGGGAGGAGGGCACGTGAAGCTCGCTGTGGAGGAGCATTCCAGCGGAAGCACATGATGCTTTCTATCACATGCCTTACTTGCTGCAATCGTCTGCTTTGCAGAGTACTGGCATTCCAGACGCACAGTGCATCAAGAACAGGGACTGCCCTGCGGGGGAAGCTGTGATAGCTGGCAATGGTAAGAGATGAGCTCCTCCCCCACCCGCACGCCTTCTTGTGCAGTTAGCTTTCCTTCGGAGGAAGACGATTCTCCGCTTTAGAAGGCTATTGGAAAAGGAGGGAGAGATATATGGGAGTCCCTGACTCAGAATAACAGGTGTTGCAGGTCAGGCTGGCTGGGTCACGGCAGAGCTTTATGGGGTGTCTCGGTGAGAAATGGGATGTAGGTCCGGATTCAGGTGTCTTGGGAAAGTGGCCGTGGGCGGACCCAGGACTAGAATAGCTGGGCGTCCTGCAGGAGGGAGCTGTATCAGGAGAGCTGTGGGGAAATCAGGAGCACATGGCCCTAACCAGTGTCCTTAGTCTTCTCTTTTCATGAGCACAAAGCTGAGGTAAATGACGTTAATAATGTATTTTCACCACTGCTTGACTTGCATCCTGTCCTGGGACACACATTGGTAGCAGCAGCTGGACAGGGTCTGCTGCCTACAGCACCTAGCCTGGGCCTAGCAGGTTTCCCTGTGGTTGGCATTAAATATATGGCAGAATTCCCAAGGATCTCCCTGGCACAGAGATTTTACCGCATGTTCTTGACTGTGAATGCAGCAGGTGGGAGTCTGGTTCCAGAGGAGTTGCCCAACGCATGAATATCTCTGTGAAGAGCTCTGAGTCCTGGGGCCCCTTAAAGACTCTGATTTACTAGCGCATAAGCTTTGAGGGGTATAACCCACTTTGTCAGATGCACTGGAATGGAAATCCCAGAGGCTGGGAATTTGTAATTTCCACTCCAATGCACCTCGAAGTGGGTCTTTGCCCACGACAGCTCACGCTCAGATAAATCCATTAGGGCTTTATGGGGCCCGGGGATTCCTCATTGCTTTTGCAGATACCGACTAGCGCGGCGACTCCCTGGGTAGGGCGCTGTGGAGGAGAGGTGTGCCGGAGTAGTGGCATGGCCTGCGTTCCGGGAGACTGACCTGCCCAGGCTGCAGAACTCTTTACCTGTGCACAGCCAGGGAGGGGCAAAGGAGAACACAAGGCAAATATGTATTTACAGCACATGTTATGAGGACACTCCTTTCTAACAGGAGATGGGATGTGCCCATTGCTTTCACTGGGCAAGAGCCTTGGGCACTCCAGAGCAGCTGGGTCTAGGGCTTTAGGTCTGGGCAGTATCCCCAGGCATGGTCCTTTCTGGGGAGAGGGAAGCTGGTGTGTCACTGCCCAAACATACCTATCCTTGTATGTTTTGTTAGCCCGAAACCATAGATGTTACTTCCTGCCCTCCTGGAGTGCTGCCACGCCTGGCTGATGATTCCCAGCAGCCTAGCTCTTACATCCAAAATGACCTGGGTCACCTGGCTTTCCTGAAGTGAATCAGCTGTACCAGGCAGCCCAGCCTGAGCCGGGCAGCAGTGCCCCTCAGCAGTCCTGAGACTGACGTCAGCAAATAACGATGGAGACCCTGAGGCTATCTATTTGATCTGTTTATCTATTAACAACCCCCCTCTCTGTGGTGCTGTGCACAGAGTGCTGGGAGAGCTCTTTCCCAGTGCTTGTGCTGCTGTGACCATGCCTTCAGCGTAAAGTGCTGCTGCTGCACTTTAAACTTTTAAGTGTAGACACGCCCTGAGCTCACTGACTTGTTTACAGTCCTTTTGAAGTCGGAGCTCTGCTGAGCCAGATGGCTTACAGTCACCCTGCCCGCATACCCCGAGTCTGCTCAGAAAACAACAGAGCGGTTGTTCTAGCCGGGAGAGAACACTTTAGAGCCCGGAGGGTTTAGGATTCCAGTGAACTCATTTAATCAGTTCTAGTGGGCCAGGGAAAAGGGAGGTGCCAGCTTTGAGTGACCTTTTCCATGACCTTGTTTTCACCACAGGGGTCAAGACCGGCCGCTGTTTGAAAGCCAGGAGCAACATCAATGGGACATGTGAAATATTAGCCTGGTGTCCAGTGGAGAAAAAATTCAAGCCCAAGTATGTTCCTCTTCTTGCGCTGTTACTGAGCATGAGTTGCCTGGTTTTGTCTTATTTTGAAGCACAACTCTGTTTGCTAAGAAGCAAATGAGGATAAGTCACTGGGCTGTATTTGGAGAGATTCCCGTTGGCCTGAATGCACGAGATTAGAAAACATCTGCGACGTTTAATATGTGCCGTCGCAGCTGGAAATTTGGCATGGAGGATGCTGTGGGGCCTGTGTCTTGCTCCTTCTAAAGATAGTGCACGTGCTTCTTGTGGGGCAACTTCCCACTCTTGCTGTTCCCTGACTCCCTCTAACACTGCCCTTTCCTTAAACAACTCGTTAACAAAACAGGACAACCGAGGGGGGCTGGCCAAAGGGGAAGAGTGTGGAACAGAACTGTTTCTCAATAGGGGCGTCAGCCCTTTCTCTGTCTCCAGAAGTGGTTTGCAGGATTGGACTCTAAGTCTGCTTACTACATGTCTGTTAATTGTCCACATAACGGGCAGAAGAACAATGAGTATAAGCCCAAGTGAACTTTGACCCCTCTCTTTCAGGAAACCGCTTTTAGCGAGTGCAGAAAACTTCACAGTTTACATCAAAAACTCGATCCGCTTCCCTAAGTTTAAATTCTCCAAGTAAGTATGTTCCTGTCTCACTTTCTTTCTCTCGCAGCATTTTTCTCTTGTCAATAATCCAAATAGCTCCTGAGTTCTCCCGTCCGTTGGTAACCAGAGGAGAGTACTTGGCTCCTGCTTATGTAGGAGCAGGGAAGGCAATGAAGGATTTCAGCTTAGGGGGAAGATTTTCAGACTGGTGAAAGCTTCCCACGTAGTCTTTGACAGCTGTCTCGTCTGGCTATATGTATCCTAGTTGTCACAGCATTCACCAATGGGATCAATACGACCCTTTATTTCCATCATAGGGTTTGTATTAATCGAAGGATATGTCTTCACTGCAGTTTTTCCAGAAAAACTACACTTACGTCCACACTGCAATTGTGTTCTTTCGACAGAAAGTCGAAAGAATGTAGGAGTTTTTCTGACAGCAGTGAACTTCTTTCTACGAGGAAGAAGCCTTTTTCCGAAAGAGTTCTTTCAGAAACAGGTGTGTGTGGATGGGGAAGAGGGTTTTTTTTTGAAAGAAGAGGCCTCCAGGAAAAAGCACAAGTGCCCTGGTAACCACTCCGTCCATAGTAATCACAACTGAAATGCAAGATAGTGTCCATGTTGATTGGCTGCTCTCTTTTGAAAAAGCAGATCGCTTTTTCGATGCACTTTTGTTTGTGGATGCTCTCTTTCTAAAGACGTTTTTCCAGAAGATTTCTTTTGGAAAAGCTTGTTCTGAAAGAAGCCTGCAGTCTAGATGTAGCCTAACTGAATAACAAGCCCATGTATATGGAATAGTCCCCTCCCACCCTAGAGTAGAACTGGGCTGGCAGCCTTCCTCATAGGCACTGGCTATGGCTACGTCTAAACTACACCCTTCTGTCGGCAGAGGGATGTAAATTAGACGTATCGAAAATGAAATGAAGCTGGGATTTAAATATCCTGCGCTTCATTTTCATAATGGTGGCCGCCGCTTTTTTTTGAAACGGGGCTTTTAAAAAAAAAAGGCAGTTTAGATGGGGCATTTTCAACAGAAATGCCCCATTTCGAAAGATCCTGTACTCCTGAAAGAAGGAGTACAGGATCTTTTGAAACGGGGCATTTCTGTCGAAAATGCCCCATCTAAACTGCTGGTTTTTTTCCGAAAAGCCCCGTTTCAAAAAAAAGCGGCAGCTACCATTATGAAAATGAAGCGCAGGATATTTAAATCCCGGCTTCATTTGCACTTTCGATACGTCTAATTTCTATCCCTTTGCCGACACAGGGGTGTAGTTTAGACACACCCTATCACATAGAACTGGAAGAGACCTTGAGAGGTCATTGAGTACAGTCCCCTGCCCTCTCGGCAGGTCCAAGCCCTGGGGGGGGGACACTGCTTAAAAACTGAAGGACCACACCAGATATGGCTCCGAAAGTCACTGCCTTAAAGGAAGGTTGGAGCTTTCTTTAGCGCCTGGTCTTGCTGTCCAGTCTGCATGGGTACAAGTCTGCCTATGTGGATGTATTTGCTGGCTCGGGGCTTGTTTGCACTGAAGCACAGTGGGATGATGTAGTCGTTGGGGGTGGCTGCAGAGATGTCACAAGATAGTAGGGTTAATAGCAAGGATGCCCCTTTCTGTCCTATTTCTCCCCTCCCCCATGGTTGCCGAGGTCCCTGCACACGAGATGGAGGAACCATCCGAGCCAGGTGCCACTCCCAGTCCCAGCCCTGAGCCTCTTCCCACCCCTCCTCCCCATCAGCTTCCTCCTCCCCGCTCCAAGGTTCTCATCCTTTCCCCTCCCCTCCACCCTCCCTCTTCCAGGTTCTTTCTCCAGTCGCTCCACAGTAACTTCTACCCCCAAATAAATAACCAAAAAGTTCTCTTTTTAAAAAAAAATAAAACGTTCATTTTATTGTTTCTGCAGGGGTGAGGGGGAAGGGAGGGGTGTTGGAGGAAAGGCAGAGAGGGGCAAGGCACAGGCCCCTACTGGGGGAGGCCCCAGGGAGAGTGGACTGAGGTCCTTGTGAGAAACTCTCCTGCAGGGCCTCCCAGATGCACCTTCCCCCACCTGATGGGCCTGCCAGATGGCAGCTGTGCACGGCTGTTCAAAGGCCCTGCCCTCCCAGCCAGCTTCTGCCTCCCACCCAGGGAGGAAGGCCTCCCCCCTTACTCTCACACAGGTTGTGGAGCATGCAACACACCGCCACCACCTGGGGGATGTTCTCCTCCCCAACATCCAACTGGGTCAGGAGGCATCAGAAATGGCATTGAAGTGGTCTTTGCTGATGTCAAGGTGTCCAGTACAGGGCTTCATGAGCCACGGCATGAGAGGGTAGGCCACATCCCCCACAATGCACAGTGGCATGTCCACATCCCCGACCCTGATGCGGCACTCGGGGAAGAAAGTACCGGCTTCCAGCTTCTGGAAGATGCTGGAGTTTCTGAAGATGCTGGTGTCATGCACCTTCCCCGACCACGCAATATAGATGTTGGTAAACTACCGGCAATGGTCGACCAGGGCCTGCAGGACCATGGAATCATAGAATCATAGAACACTAGAACTGGAAGGGATCTCGAGAGTCATCGAGTCCAGTCCCCTGCCCTCACGGCAGGACCTAGCACCATCTAGATCATCCCTGATAGATGTCTATCTAACCTGCTCTTAAATATCTCCAGAGATGGGGATTCCACAACCTCCCTGGGCAATTTATTCCAGTGTTTAACCACCCTGACAGTTCGGAACTTTTTCCTAATGTCCAACCTAAACCTCCCTTGCTCCAGTTTAAGCCCATTGCTTCTTGTTCTATCCTCAGAGGCCAAGGAGAACAATTTTTCTTCCTCCTCCTTGTGACACCATTTTAGGTACCTGAAAACCGCTCTCATGTCCCCCCTTCAATCTTCTCTTTTCCAAACTAAACAAGCCCCATTCTTTCAGTCTTCCTTCATAGGTCATGTTCTCTAAATCTTTGATCACTATCCAATTAGCCCATTATAAGACGGGATTTTCAGGTCTCTCCTCCAAGTTGGTCTTCTCTGCTGAGCCTCCGGGCTCTGGTTCTGGCTCTGTCTCCGTCTCTCTCTCTCTCTCTCTTTCTTCCTCCTCCTCCTCCTACTGTCTCCCCCTCTCTCTCTCAGCTCTCCTCTTCCTTCTGCTTCTCTCTCCGTCTCTCTCTTTCTCTTCTCCCCCTCCTGCCTCTCACTTTCTCTCTGCTCTCCTCTGTCTCCGTCAGGGATGCACGCTCATCCAGGCCCCGCTCCCTGGACGTGTAAGTCACTGCCCCGCCCTCCTTCACCTCCTGCCATGGCACTCAGCTGATTTCTGCGCTGCTCAGCTGGGCTGCTGCGCAGGAGCAAGTGACGCAAACGGCCTCTCTCTCTCTTCTCCTCCTCCTACTGCCTCGCCCTCTCTCTCTCTCAGCTCTCGTCCGCCTCCTGCCCCTCTCTCTGTCTCTCTCTCTTTTTCTTCTCCCTCTCCCACCTTTCACTCTGTTTCTCTTCTCCTCCTCCTGCTGCGTCTCTCTCACTCTCTCTCTCTGTCCTCCGCCGCGTCCTCTGTGTCTGCCCCGCTTTCCTCCTTTTGAATCCAGCACCCTTTCCTGACGTCAGAGACGTGCGCTCATCTAGGCCCCATCCCCTGGCTGTTCCCTCTGGGCAGCGCTGCTGCATCCCACCGTGGCGCTCGGCTGACTTCTCTGCCACTCAGCCGGGCCGCCGCACGGGAGGAAGCAGTGCAAGCGGCCGTTTGGGCCCCGAGCTCCCCATGCAGCACTCCCATGCTGCATGGGGAGCGTGGATCCCAAACAGTCGCTTGCGCCGCTTGCTCCCTCGTGGTGGCCAGGCTGAGTGGTGCAGAAGTCAGCCGAGCGCCATAGCAAGAGGCAACAGCGCTGCCCAGAGGGAACAGTCAGCGTTTCATTGTTACAGACATTGGGCTACTATATGTATGATTCTAGTTGCTCTTCTCTGGACCTTCACCAGTTTCTCCACATCTTTATTGAAATGTCATGACACAGTGCTCCAACTGAGGCCTAATCAGCGCAGAAGAAGGACTTCTCATGTCTTGCTCACAATACTCCTGTTAATGCAGCCCAGAATCATGTTTGTCTTTTTTTTGCAAGAGCAAACTGTTGACTCAGAGGGTATGTCTACTCTACAGCACTAATTCGAACTAACTTAATTCAAATTACAGGCAGTCCCCGAGGACTTTTGCCTGAACAGGAGCAGCATAGTATTTCCACAAGAAGCACTGACAATCTTACATGAGATCGTCAGTGCTTTTGCAGAAATTCAAGCGGCCAGTGTAGACAGCTTGCAAGTTTTTCCGGAAAAGCGGCTGATTTTCTGGAAAAAACGGCCAGTCTAGACACAGTCGTATTGTTTGCTTATATTCGTCCTTTGTCATTTGTCCTAGTTTCCACTTTTTATAGGACTCCTTTTTTATTTTTAGATCACGAAAGATCTGGTTAAGCCAAGGCGGACTTTCGCCCTGGAGAAGCAGCCCTAGCAGTTTATGTATACAGAGTAGGGATGTTAAATATCGGTTAATTGAATAGTCGAGTAACCTCAAGAATTCTTATTGGTTAGTCGACCATTCGCCTCTGGGGGCGGGGCCAGCAGCAGCGCAGGGTGCCAGGTGGGAGTTCGTCTGCAAGAGGAGCCACTTTAAAAACCAGCTCCCCTTGCGGACTGGCTGCTTGTTGTCCTGCTGCTGCCTCTGATAAAGTGCCTGGTGGAAACAGCTCCTGCCTGGGGTGGGCAGTCTGAGTTCCTGGACCCGTTGTGAACTGGAACTGAGCCAGGCTGCCTGCCCGCCCGGCTCCTACTACACTAAATGCAGAGCCACAGCCGGGGTAGGTCCCAGACTCAGAGTGAACCAGACCTGCTGGCCAGCCTGCTAAAATATTTACTGGTTGGTGGGGGGAGGGAAACGTGCAGAGTCTGTAGCATTAATCGACTGCACTATTACATATCTAATACAGATGCCTGGTGGTTGGGGGCCTGGATGGGGATGTGGGTACCATCAATAGCCCCCCCCTGCAGTTGGGGAAGCCGGTGATGATGGGGTCCATGTGGCAGTGTGGATGTCCCTGCGCAGCAGGACGGTATTGATGGCTTTCACCACCTGCAAAAAGACACAAACAAACAAACAGGGAATCACAAGGTAGCTAGAGCTCTTGGAAGATTACCGAGTCCCCCCCTTGTCCCCCAACCACACCAGGAGCCACCCCTATGTAGCCCATCTCCCCCCAGCAGGGCTGTGTGAGGGCGAGACTGGACAATGCCTGGGGTCTTCCCCCATCCCCACTCCACCCCCCAAAACCTCTTTTCCCTAGGGTTCCCCATTCCAGCACGCCACCCACCCCCTCCTGGAACTGTGGCCCAAGAGTGCCATGCCTGTATGACAAGAGTCCTAATGGTCGACTTCCCCACGCCGAACTGGTTCCTGACGGACTGGTAATTGGCCGGCGCGGCGAGATTCCACACAGCCATGGCCACCTGCTTCTCCAAGGGGAGGGCAGATCACATCTGGGTGTCCCGTCAGGTGAGGGCAGAGCGAGCCAGGCACACAGCTCCAGAAACGTCTCCTTCCTCATGTGGAAATTCTGGAGCCACTGCAGGTCACCCCACTGCTCCATCATGAGCCAGCTGGTGTCCAGTCGCCAGAAACGACAGTGCCCAATGGGTGCAGCTGGAAGAGCTGCGCTCCCAGAGGTTGAGGGTCTCCTCCAGCAGCTGGGGGTCATGTCCTGCAGGGCCATGAGGAAGCATGACCATCAGGGGCCGGCGCATGCCCAGAGGCAGCGCTGGCTCCATAGCTGGGAGTGCTGTGGTGTCCAACAGGGCAACCAGAGCACCCAGGGAATACCCTTTGCTGTCCCTCGGAGAGTTAGGCAAGCAGAAGAACCTGAGAAATGGCTTCCCAAGGGGGTCTCTTTAATCACGGGTCTCAGAGAGCCTCAGGCAGCAGCTCCAGGAAGTCACTGCTGACCTGATGCCCTGCCTGAAGTGGTTTCCAGGGGCCTGCCATGCGAGTTAGCATCCAATCCGTGTGGCCGCTCTGTTTCAGAATAGCTCAGCGCTATTTCAATGCACTTTTTGTGTGCAGATGCGCTATTTCGAAATAAGCGTGCAGTGTAGACAGCCCCTAAGAGCCGTGCGCTAAGCCTGATCTTTGCACAACCTTCCCATTGCTATCAGTGGAAGAGTGTTGTAGCTTCGATACATATCCAGCCTCACCATGCTATCTGAGCACCTCGCGTGACTGTATTGATTTATCCTCCCAACACACCGGCGAGGTAAGGCAGGGTTGTTCTCTGCATTGTGCAAATGGGAAACTGAGGCATTTGATTCTCTCCCTTAGAATGACTTTAGCTCCCCACGTGAAGTGTTTCTACTAGCTCAGTGTGTACGGGAGAAGGGTTTCACCTGTAACATCGCCAGTAACATTTATCCCTTTACTTTCCCAGCTTTCTTCTGGAACATGTTTCCCTCAAGAATTGCCTAGCACTTTATGAACTGGCTTATGCCCATGGAGACCAAGCTCTGCTCCGAGTAGCCATGAGACACGTCAGCCTGAACTTTAGACACCTCGCTCAGGAGGACAAAAGTTTCCTCAATTTGCAACCCAGCACTTTGATAAGCATCATCTCCTCAGACAGCCTGGTGGTGCCTTCGGAGTGGGTTGTCTACCAGGCAGTGTGGCGCTGGATGAAGTTTCAGGCCTCCAGCCGCCGTCCGTTCCTGAGTGAGGTAATGAGGCACGTCCGCCTCCCGCTCCTTACCCAGGAAGAGCTCCGGGAGGCCCAGTTAGAACTGCAGTGTGAGGGGGATGTGCGTCTGCGATGGAAGCGTCTCAACAGGCAGGAGAGGCTGCAGGAGTGCGGAGGCCTGAGGCAGGGCATGTACAGCCCATGTATTGTGTGCGTGGACCTGTTCAGCATGGAGGGCCCTGAGCTGAAAACGAAGGATTTTCAAGTAGGCTGTTTTGACCCTCAGACAGAAAAGTGGGAGAAGCTGCCGCCTTTGAAGTGCTTGTACTGCACTCGCTGCGTGGCTGTGGCAGACAAGCTGTACGTAGCCGGGGGTGTGCACACTGACGACTCGTATTCAGACACACTCCACGAGTACAGCTCTTTCCGAGGCCGTTGGACGCAGCTCCCATCTATGTCCACGCCCCGCGCCTCTCACGGCTTCCTAAGCTGCAGCCAGAAGCTCTATGCTGTAGGGGGCTGGTGCAGGTATGAAGATTATCTGGATTCTGCAGAATGCTTTGACTTAGTGGTAAGGCGCTGGACCCCCATCGCGCGGCTGCCCTACACACTGAGCCATTTTGCTGCCACAGTGCTTAAAAATAAACTGTACCTGATAGGGGGGGTGACAGACACACTGGGATCTTGGTGTGTCTCCAAGAAGGTTATGATCTACAAAGTTAACGCCAACGTGTGGACACAAGTGCTTCTGGATGCCGAGTGCTACTGGTCCGGTGCTGTATCCATGAACAGCGGGATATATGTGATTGGCGGGTATGTTAGGAGCAGGGTGAGACACCGTAATGAGAGGTGGCCTGATTCAGGGAACCTGCATTGCAGTCGCAAGAGTTTCTTCCTGGGCGAAGATGGCAGAGTGCACAAGGATGTGGTGGTCCCAAAGTTGCCAGTTGAAATTGCTGGTGCTGGTGTGGTGCGCTGGAAGAAGAGGATCTACGTGCTGGGCGGAGAAAATAAATATTTATACAATAGCCATGATGGGGAAAATGAAGAGGAATATTATAACACAATTTACTACTGGGAGCCTGGAGACCACAAATGGATTCAGTGTCCAGAAAGACTCCCTTTCAGCAACTGGGGAATCAGCGGATTTGGGTGTGCAACACTGAAGATACCCAAAAAATCGATTCTCTCGCTTTTTCGAAAGACATCTGTAGCCCTGACAGCTGTTGAGTTAGCAGAGAGTTAGCTGGCTTTTATCCTCATGCCCGATTGCCTCCTGGTCAGTATATCCTGTCCCTAAAGCTGCATTTGTGAAGATCGCCTGTCTCTCCCTTTAGTGTGTTTACTTGTGCTTATCTGAATTCCCGGGCAGCCACTGGGAACCAGCAGATTATTGGTGAAAGAAGGGATGTGGTTCCGAGGGAGCAATTCACCTCTGCCTTGTTTTGGGGCTGCCCTTTACACTTGTGCAAAGTGGGCATGAAATGCTACTGAGCCAGAGCTCTCCTAGGGAACCATTTCGTTTGGTTCCCCAAAGGAAGGGGGAGCTGGCAGCAAGCCATTATTAGCCCCTTGCTATGTCTGGGGCCAGCTCTCAACGGCTTCCGGGCTGCTGCGTGTCTGGGCTGCTCTGTGTTTGACCCCTAAAGAGGTGGATGCTTTTGAAAATAGCCCCTGGCGTCTGGACAGCCCTGTCCTCCCCCAGAAGGCATTAAGCCTGTTGCCTGTTGTGGCTGAGGCAAAGTCCCACTTTCAAATGTGCTTTCAATGAGAATTAGGCACCTACGTCATGTAAGAGCTTTTGGAACCTTTTCCTGCCTTGGCTGCACCCATGTTCTGCTAACTATGCCCCTGCCATAGAAGCCAAGAGACTAGCAGGGTTCAGGGAAGGGTTAGATACCTGTATGGATAAAGAGTTATTACAGCAGTGAACAGTGAAAGAGTTATCAGAACCGTTAGCTGGGGGATGAACCCTCCTGCTTCAGGGTGTGAGTCAGCCTCTAATTACTGAGGAACAGGAAGAACTGTTCCATAGGGCACATTAGCTATTGCAGGGTTTCTGGCATCTTCTAGCTGAGTTTCTTGTGCTGGCTGCTTTCAGCAGAGACACACTGGACTGGCTGTAGCATTGTCCTGATGGTGTGTGGCAATTGCTATGTTGCTTCACTGAGAGCTGGGAGAGGAGTGTGTCATAACAGTGCCTCAGTGGAACCCTTCCCTGAGGAAAACAGGTTTCTAAGCTGCCACTAGAAGCTTTAAGCTGGGGGACAGGCTGGGGCACCTCTGAAGATGATCTGGAGTCTGCAGAATGCTTTGACTTACTGGAGGGGACCTAGACCTCTCCTCTCTCAACTGCCCTACCCACCCACTGAGCCACAGTGCTTTACCACCACCTGATAAGGGGTGGCAAGACACACGGGGCCCCTTGTGTGTTTCCAGAGCATTCCTGTGGGTTTGCGACAGGGGGCAGGTGAAAACTAACAGCCTGTCAATCGTGATAAAAACGTCTGTAGAAATATTATAAGCCAAATTATGAATTCTCCTGAATTCATGTTCATGGCGCACGTTCAAACCCATGTAGCTCTGATTTGGCAGAACTATTCAAGCAGTCTGTCTTAAATGAAGACACGCGTGTTTACCTCAGGAAGCAGTAAGCAAGGCCCTGGAGACCGCAAGAGCGAGACAAAGCGGCCAGAGGAGCTACTGCACAGGAGCAGCAAACGTGAGATTTTTACAAGGGACTGCTCTAGCTGAAGGAGACCATTGGGATGAGTTTATTTAACTTTTGTGTGTGCTCTGCTTGACTGTAGTGTATAGTGTGGTCAGGTTAGAGTAGGGGGTGGGGACTGAGCCTAGCAGCCTGCTATGAACAGAAAGTGAGTAATCATTAGGAAAGGGACAGCTAGAAAGGCTGAAAACACCACAATGCTGCTATGTAAATCCTCAGTACACTCAGCCCTTGAATTCTGTGTGCAGTTCTGGTTGCCCATCTAAAAAAAATAGTAGAAATGGAAAAGGTGCAGAGAAAAGGCGCACACAGGCTAAGGGTATGGACCAGCTTCCATATACGGAGAGATTAAAAAGATGGGGCCTTTCCACTTTGACAGCTAGGGGGAGATAAAATAGAGGTCGATACAATTACTCCTGGTGTGGTAATAAAGACGTGTTAATTAGACTTCATACACCACAAGACCCAAGGGTCACCCAATTAATTAAAATTCATGAAAGAAGGGTGCATTGAGAACTATTAGCCAAGATGACCGGAGATGCTAACCCATGTTGTGGGGATCCCGAGGCCTTTCATTGCCACATGCTGGGACTGGGCAACAGGGGAAGGTTGACTTGATGTTCATTCCTCATTCTCTGTTCACTCCCTCTGGGGCACCTGGCATCAGCGACTGAGGGAAGACAGGACCCATGGCTGGGTGGACCTTTGCTCTGGGCCAGGCTATTCTTATGTGGAAATCTTCGTTTTGGACACCACAAACCACCCATGTCCAGGGTGGGAACTATGGGACTGGAGGTGCATGGGAGTCACCCTGCAAATGGCAAGGAAGGCTGGTGGAACCCAGACTGTTTCTGGGGTGTGCTGATAAGCTGTTGGGATCCGAGTGGCTGGACCAGAGCTGTATCTGCATTCAAGGTGTGACCTGCATGCTGGCAGGCTGATTATTAGTGAGCCAAACTGAAACGGACATCTCCAGAGTATAATCCAGACCAGGGAGTATAAAGGACATCTCCAGGGTATAATCCAGACCAGGGAGTATAACGGACATCTCCAGGGTATAATCCAGACCAGGGAGTATAACGGACATCTCCAGGGTATAATCCAGACCAGGGAGTATAACGGACATCTCCAGGGTATAATCCAGACCAGGGAGTATAACGGACATCTCCAGGGTATAATCCAGACCAGGGAGTATAACGGACATCTCCAGGGTATAATCCAGACCAGGGAGTATAACGGACATCTCCAGTGTATAATCCAGACCAGGGAGTATAACGGACATCTCCAGTGTATAATCCAGACCAGGGAGTATAACGGACATCTCCAGTGTATAATCCAGACCAGGGAGTATAACGGACATCTCCAGTGTATAATCCAGACCAGGGAGTATAACGGACATCTCCAGTGTATAATCCAGACCAGGGAGTATAACGGACATCTCCAGTGTATAATCCAGACCAGGGAGTATAACGGACATCTCCAGTGTATAATCCAGACCAGGGAGTATAACGGACATCTCCAGTGTATAATCCAGACCAGGGAGTATAACGGACATCTCCAGTGTATAATCCAGACCAGGGAGTATAACGGACATCTCCAGTGTATAATCCAGACCAGGGAGTATAACGGACATCTCCAGTGTATAATCCAGACCAGGGAGTATAACGGACATCTCCAGTGTATAATCCAGACCAGGGAGTATAACGGACATCTCCAGTGTATAATCCAGACCAGGGAGTACAGCAGTGGTCCCTGTAAGGTGCGCACCTGTACAGGGCACACACCAAGAATTTCAGTCCTGCCCACCTCCTCAGCAGAGGAGCCACAGCTGCCCCCGGGGGCCATGTGGTGGGCGGCTGCCCCACCCCAGGAGCAGCAGGCGGCTGCCAGAGCTGGAGCCTGGATGGTATTAAAAATAGCACCGCAGCCCTGGCTCCAGTCCCAGAACACGGGGCATGTGGAGACCTGCTCCAGGGGAGCAGGCTTCTGTGGCATGTGCAATTCCTGCTCTCTGACATGCCAAGTGTGCCTGGTGGCCGCTCTACGCCAGCCACGGCTGCTCTGCCTGTGCTCGGGGAGAGGGGTGCTTTGCCACAGCCATTTCCTTCCCTTCCTCCCAGCGAGGGCGCACTTGGTTCTTTGTGCCTTGCTGAGGGGCTCGCAGAGCGCTGGCTGCCAGCCCAAGGAGAGCTGCGGGAGTGATGTTCGGTGGGGAGGAGGAAGGGGGATGGGATAGGGCTTGCTCCTGCCTCTGTCCACTTTAGGAATGAAGTTGTGGGATTGGAAATTCTCTGGTGGGTGTATAATGTGCAGAATAAAACATTGTGGTAACAGCATTGGCTCTGGCACGAGGGGGTTGCCGGGTGCAGGTGTCAGGAAGTCAGAAGTGGGGAGGGAAGGGGCAGGGGGAGAACTAAAGGGAAGGTGGGTGAGGAGAGGAAGGGGCTTGTGCTGAGGGGAGAGGAGGGGCCAGAGCAGGCGAAGAAAGGGGCAGGCACCAAGGGGCAAGGTGGAGGAGAGACAAATGCCAGGGGGCCAAGAGGAGACAGTGAGGAAAAGGGCAGGAGGAGTGGGGGTGGGGAGAGGGGAAGGTGTGTGTGGGGGTGGAACAAGTGAGGGGACAGGGTGAGGAGAGGGGAGGGGCACTGGGGCAAGAGGAAGGAAGCGTGGAGGGGAGGAGTGGGTGCTGGAAGAAGAGGTTTTGAAGGCTGTGTCTAGACTACATGCCTCTGTCGGCAGAGCCATGTAGATTAGACTCATAGGCAAAGGCAAATGAAGCCGTGATTTAAATGATCGCGGCTTCATTTACATTTACATGGCTGCCGCGCTGAGCCGACAAACAGCTGATCAGCTGTTTGTCGGCTCGCGCGCTAGTCTGGACGTTCCCCCTGTCGACATCAAAGCCCTCT